AATCAGGAAAGTGAGATAAGGACCTGTATCTTTCTTCCATCTATCTAATGAAGGAAACGAGATGTGGACCTGAATCTTTCTTCTCTCCATATAATCAGGAAAGTGAGATAAGGAACTGGATCTTTCTTCCATCTATCTAATGAAGGAAGCGAGATGTGGACCTGAATCCTTCTTCCCTCCATATAATCAGGAAAGTGAGATAAGGACCTGTATCTTTCTTCCATCTATCTAATGAAGGAAACGAGATGTGGACCTGAATCCTTCTTCTCTCCATATAATCAGGAAAGTGAGATAAGGAACTGGATCTTTCTTCCATCTATCTAATGAAGGAAACGAGATGAGAGCCTGGATCTTTCTTCCCTCCATCTAATCAAAAAATGAGATGAGGACCTGTATCTTTCTCCTCTCTATCTAACGAAGGAAGCGAGATGAGGACCTGGATCTTTCTTCCCTCCATCTAATCAAGGGATCGAGATGTGGACCTGGATCTTTCTTCCTTCCATTTAATCAAGAAAGTGAGATGAGGACCTATATCTTTATCCCCTCTATCTAACGAAGGAAGCGAGATGAGGACCTGGATCTTTCTTCCCTCCACCTAATCAAGGGATCGAGATGAGGATCTGAATTTTCCTTCCTTCTATCTAATCAAGAAAACGAGATGTGGACCTGGATCTTTCTTCTTTCCATTTAATCAAAAAAGTGAGATGTGGACGACTAGTTATTATCAGAATAAGACTGATAATTTAGGATTATTTATGATATTACTGACAATCATTCGTGTTTGGCTAAAATGTCTCGTTCGTTTGTGAACTGTTACAATGTCTTGTTAAATTTAGTTCGTGTTCTTTTGTATAACAAAAGGAGGATAAGAGAATAAGACAGGAAGTGTGGATCAGATAATAGGAGATCAAGGAGTGTATGTTAAGTGGTAGGAGACCAGGAAATAATGGACCCATTACCATTCAACATAAAGAAAGGATCATAATTCAGGTGTCTTATTATTTAGTTATGACACTACGGAATTTTGTTGCTTTAGTTGATCTATAAATTGATAGATGTCACTCACTGGAATTTTTTTCACAACATTTAGCATATAATCAAAGACCCCGTATCGCTAAGGTGGTCCACTCAGCCTGAAAAGTGCAAGGAGGCAACCGCAGCGCTCCAAGCGGCAGCTGCGGTACTCGTACAAACTGCCGTGCGAAGAGCCTCTGCAAGTAAACATATATAATACGCTCGCTGTTTACACAAACAAAAGCTAACAAAGTGAATGACATCATTCTTAGTTTTGGTTTATGTGTTTAACAAACATACTAATTATCAGAGCTGTGCGTAGCGCCGTTACAAATATCGCGCGCTAACGTAGCCCTTCTATGTTTCTAGGAGCAACTAATGGCTCGACGCTACACTACATTTGAAAATTCACAGCGATTACAGCGCCGCCCCATTTTTCGTCTATACAAAGCTCTACTCGCTCCATTTTTAATACAGAATATAAATTATAATCATTTGTATATTGTACATAATTATATCTTGTATAATTATACAATTTTGTATATATATGTAATTATTATATATATATTGTTTCGGACTTAATTAGACTTGCATATGCTACCTGACATATCCAGTTGATTCGATCTTCAGCGATGTCTGGCCGGCTATCCGTGACGTAATACTAAGTTATATACATATATAAAGCGTTCTTTGTATTTGTTCACAATATTGTTAATTTTGTGTTATATTCAATATTTACTATGTATATGTTCAGTTTCATATAATATTAAATTAGAAGGTTTATTACTTTATTTTCATGTAAAAAAATAATTTAGAAGTATCGTTAAATGTTTTATTAAATTCCTGAGCTGGATAACTCTAGTAGAAACTTCTCTTATTTAACACGTTTCAATTGATAATACAAGATATTCATGTAAACCAGCTAGTTTATATTTCATGTTTGATAATAACTCAAGAAAATCCCTGACATATATAATATTATAAATCGTGATTATAATATATATATTACAATATTATATCATGTATTATTATTAAATATAATATATATAACAGTATTATATAATTTTGTATATTGTGTTGTGTAGAATATATTGCATGTAATCATATTTACACGAAAAACAGTCAAACGTGTTACGTGATGCAGTTATTGTCGTTAACTTATTAACTCATTTATTATTATTACTGTCATCAAATTCATTTATTTGACGTTTGGTTAAGTACTTTCATCAAATGTATCGAAGGTTTGTTAGCTGTTTTCCTCTCATCATTTATAAAAATGGACAGGGTATTTGTTCTAGGAAGTTTGTATTATGTTATTGTATTTATAAAGTATTACCATTTACCAATAGATTCATTCATACATTATCCACCGACAAAAACAAATTATCACGAAAAATGATAGTTTCAAAAGTAGCGATAGCGATAGAGCCGCCATATTTATAAATATGTAGCGACAACAGTGGCGTCGTTGTATTATTCTTGCTGCTCCCCAGTGGCACAGCGCTATGTCTGCGGACTTACAACGCTAGAATCCGGGTTTCGATACCCGTGGTGGGCAGAGCACAGATAGCCCATTGTGTAGCTTTCTGCTTAACTACAAACAAACAAACAAAATTATTCTTGCTGTAGTGGTGGCGATAGCGCCGCCATATTTATAAATATGTAGCGACAACAGTGGCGTCGCTGTATTATTCTTGCTGTAGCGGTAGCGATAGCGGCGCTCCACTGAAGAGGTAATGAGCACAGCTAGGCTATTTATCGATAGCAGTAAATTTTCCTCTTTATAAATCATAAGCCTTACTTTTGTTCCCAATGTTTGTTACATCTACCAAATTTTCCCACGCCCTTTACATTCACAGCAGTTCACGACATCTACGAAAAGTGCTTATCAACAGACAGCATGATAATCGAATTTTAACATGGTAAAACACGCGTCATCAACAGTTTCAAGATAATTACTTTAACAGCAGTCATCAGATCTTGGTGTTACGTGCTGAGTGGTTCATCCTTGTGAGATATTTTTTTACACTTACATAATTAAATTGTAACGATTGTTCGTGCACGGGGCGTTTTTTAAATTTCATTATGTTATGGAAAAATTAAATTAGGAGTAATGGAGTAGGAACAACGTCACCATTGTGTAAGGGTAGGATGGATGTAGGTAGTACTACACATTGAGGGAAAGGTATTAGGGGAATGGATCTGTCATCACTCAAAGCCCCAGTGTTGATGTGTTAAGGTTTTGTGTGGGCATTTCTTGATTTATTTAAAGATATTTAGTGTAGCGGTACTGTCACCCTGTTTATTAGGGACCTGGTAGTTAATACTTGCCCCCTATATCCAGTTTTTTAAAGTGACGCCAGATCTGGTGTCTCTTATTAGATAAGTCGATCGGTTTGTCATTTCTTGACCAGGCCGTTCGGCTGGAGAGGTATTTTGTGAGTAGTCTAAGTAGTTCGCTTAACTGTTTCAATTACTTTAAATACACAGCACTGACTTTACATCTTATAGACTTTGTGTATTCAGATACGAAATACCACAAGCAAAAGAAGAAAAAAATGTTTTGTTCGCGAAGCATGAGTTTTCCACTATTCTATTGAACTACAACGAAAATATTAACATTTTGGCTCACAAACTACACTTAAATTCATTTTATAAAGAATTAATCAAATGACTTTTACCAAATCATAATTTGACAGCTTTCATTGGTCACAGCTGCATTTCATACACACACACACGAGGATCTCCTTATGGTATTCCCCCACCGGCAAGTCTGAGAGTTTATAATATTAAAAATTAGGTTTCGATACCCGCAGAGGACAGATAGCCCATTGAGTAGCTTTACGCTGAACAACAAACAAACAAATCTTATGCTTTGAGTTTATTCGTCTGTGCTCGACAATCTCAACCAATCTACTTTGATAACAGTTGCTCATGGATGCGGATAAGATTAAATTATAAAGTCGCTGGATACACCAGATTAAATATTGTTTGTGCAACTTAATAACAAAACTTAAGTCTACAAACAAGAGTTATAAACCGAAGCCAGACTGATATTTAAACAAAGATATATTCAGTAGCTGCAAATTTGCTTATAGATAAACATGTTTTTCTCCAAACTTCCTCCATTATGTCAGCGGTTAGTTTAAGGAATTACAATGCTCAAATCTGGGGTCCGATTTTCTTACGGCTGACAGAGTGCAGACAAGCTATTGTTGCACTAAAACAAACAAACATCTTCTCTAAACCTTTTTTGTTTTTAGACAAACATTAACGACTTTACGGATACAAACGACGAATAAACATCTGCCTTTTGAACTCCGGGTCGTGTAGCAACACGAACCACGTTTGTTTGCTAAGGCAACGAACCCCACTCCAGTTTACTAATAAAGCATCTTTACAAAATATGATAATATCAGCCAAAGATAGAAGCCAAAGCGACGATTATGAGAATACGAAATAAACGGTTTCATTTTTAATATCAAGGTTTGGAAAAGTTGGTTTTGGTATTCTGATAATTTCTTTCAGCAAATCTGTCATCCGCTAGATATTCCAAGTATATAAGAAAGAAGGGTGAAGGTCATCTTTCTCGAATCAAAGTCTAAATTATCGAAGAGATGACATGCATATGTTGAACTCTGACCTCCAATGAAAGTTGGCTGTAAACAAGTTACTCAACGAATTTTCACGTGCTATAAGTAAGTGTCTCTAAGCTATTTTTCACGAGTGAAAACCTATCTGTTTTTCAGTTGTGTTCCTGCATGTGAGCAACACGGACAACTGACCACTAATGATGAGAGCCGTTTTTGTTTTTCTTGCTGTTTTCCTGACGTTCTTCCTTCAACCAAATGCAGGTACAGAGAAAACTGACATGTCTATGCTCTTTCAGTTGTTGCTAAATTAATTTCTATTTTCGTTTACCATATTTTTGATTAATACAGAAAAATCTTATTTTATAAATTGTTCATTTCATAACTCACTTTTATAGTCTTGGTCAAGCCTCTTTACAGTGATAACTTTATCATTTAAATTCTAGATAGTAACTAAAGACTTGCTATATACTTTACAGTGGTGTAGGAAAGAGTTGTAAACTTGGGGTGCTTGGCTAGACATGCAGATTTTACAATGAGAGATTAACAGTATAAGGAGCTGCTAAAAACAACTCCCGTACTGTCCAAAGCACCTCAATCTAGGGGGTTCTGGGGCATACCTCCGAGAAAATTAATATAATTTACAGTTGCTATATAAGTCAAATATGTAAAAATGGGGTGCTACAGCACCTCTGATTCTTACGTCTCTGCTTTATGCCATAGTAATTGTAAACGTTTTTTTTTAGGTAACGTATGAGCTCAAATCAAACATTATTTTAAACAAAAATGAACTGTTATAGAAAAGTATTTTTAAACCTTGATTTATTATCAACCTTTATGCTTTTTACGTATGCATGGCCTGATTAGGACACTCGATTCGCTTGCCCTTTCACCCGTGGTGGCATTACAACGTGATGGTCAATCGGTCATTCCCACTATTCGTTGGTTAAAGAGTAGCCAAAGAGTTGGTGGTGGATGGTGTTTACTAATTGCCTTTTCGCTAATCTACCACTTCAAACTTAGGGACGACTAGTGTAGATAGCCCTCGAGTAGCTTAGCTCGACATTCAACAATCAAACAAAAAATCCTTATATTAATTCTTTTTTTTATCCATCATTTCAGAAATTATTGAATATAAATTCAAAATGATACAAGCCATTAATGTATACGTCTTTCTTTTCTACTTTTGACGTCCTGCTTCTTCCCTTTTTATATTTGACGTACTGTTTCTTCCCGTTCTACTTTTGCGTACTGCTTCTGCCCTTTCTACTTTTGACATACTGCTTCTTCCATTTCTACTTTTGAAGTCCTGCTTCTTCCCTTTCTACTTTTGACGTCAAAAGTAGAAAGGGAAGAAGCAGGACGTCAAAAGTAGAAAGAGAGGAAACAGTACGCAAAAGTAGAAAGGGAAGAAGCAGGACGTTAAAAGTAGAAAGGGAAGAAGCAGTACGCAAACATAGAAAGGGAAGAAGCAGTACGTCAAAAGTAGAAAGGGAAGAAGCAGGACGTCAAAAGTAGAAAGAGAGGAAACAGTACGCAAAAGTAGAAAGGGAAGAAGCAGGACGTTAAAAGTAGAAAGAGAGGAAACAGTACGCAAAAGTAGAAAGGGAAGAAGCAGGACG